AACTATAGGTATAAACTGACACTTACATGACGTTGGGCCTATCCGGGGACGCGCTACACATACATTCCCTCACCCAGGATTGCTGAAGATGCTTTACGAACGACATCAACGCCAGATTGAAAAGCATTACTATTCTCATATACACCCAAATCAAGTCATGGTTCAGAAGAGATATTATCAAGAAACACTTTCACAAGGTACCTGCATAATTCTAATCATAATAATTGCACCTGAAAAAAGCATTATCCACAAAGTTAATATATTCATAGAAATTACCGATGACGATTGTGTGTGCATTTATACCGTACACGGCCGTGTATCCATTTCCGTGGTACTATTGAATGATGAATTTTTGAAGTAGATTTCACAAATTTTCCATCGCAGAACTTACTGATGGGGCGTCGCTTTTGTTTGAATATATAGAATTAAGCAGGTGTAATGTGCTTTTACTTTTAACGATAATCATGATAATTACATATTATTGGTAAATATTATATAATACAAGCGAATTCGTTATTGGACCATGGGGGTGTTTCATAAAGCTGTTCGTAAAGTTACGCATGACTTTACGAACGACTTGTATATGAAAAGCCAAATGGGATGCTCAATAATTATTGATTATTATTTATTAAGTTGAACTGTGCAGATGTAGATTAACATTCTTATTATAACAACCATTTTTAATGTAAAGTATATTTTTTGCCAGGTTATTGGAAATATCAGAAAAAACTTTGGGCATCCTATCTGGCACTTCATGTACAAGTCGTTTGTAAAGTCATGCGTAACTTTACGAACTCTTTATGAAACACCCCCCAGAATGATGAAAAAATGTAAAAGGGGATGGCACAAGGTCTCACTTTCTCGCATTCTATCCATCCCATAATTTGTTTAAGGTGGTGGTGGTGGTTATTGTACCTGACTGCTAAGAAAGCATAAATGCTTGTTAGTATTAAAGCAACCAGACAACCGACGGCTTTAGGTCCTCTCTGAGGGACCTGGTAATGAGGATTAACGCCTTACTAAAGGGCATTATATACCTCACTTAAGAAATCCAGCCATCTGATTGGTCGAATTGCATTCATAAACTTCAACTGTTCCTGTAAAATTCTCGGTAACCATGCATAAAACATTTCAATATTTTTAATAACCATGGTTATTAAAAAAGTTGGTCAGCGTCCATGGTTACCCCATAGGTTTACATGTTAAAAAATGGTTTGAGCGATGGAGGATGCCGTATGTGTGCGAAGGATTGGTCGGTAATTTCAATACAATTGAATCTCGATCGATCTTACCGACAATTTTATCTTGCATTGTTGACATGAAGACGAAAATAAACTTCCAAAAACAAAAAAACAACATCTGCCGATAGATCTTGATCTAAGTTCGTGCCAATATGCATTGCAAAAGTAAAAGAAGAGTCCGTATATGGAGCTTTTGCGAAGCATTCATCACACGCGAAGCCGGTTTCAATCCATTTTAATGTATATATAGGAGAAAACTGCCAAGCATGTTAACGGCGGGCCATAGCCGAGTGGTCTGAGCGTTGGTTTTCGGTACACCTTTTGTTGTACGCAAGAGTTCGAATCCCGTCTTCGACAAAAATGATAAATATTTTTAATTTTTCATTTTTTAGTCTATTTTTTTCGGCATATAAAAATATTAATGACTGCTAGTATTAAAAACAACATCTGCCGATAGATCTTGATCTAAGTTCGTGCCAATATGCATTGCAAAAGTAAAAGAAGAGTCCGTATATGGAGCTTTTGCGAAGCATTCATCACACGCGAAGCCGGTTTCAATCCATTTTAATGTATATATTGGAGAAAACTGCCAAGCATGTTAACGGCGGGCCATAGCCGAGTGGTCTAAGCGTTGGTTTTCGGTACACCTCTTGTTGTACGCAAGAGTTCGAATCCTGTCTTCGACTAAAATGATAAATATTTTTAATTTTTCATTTTTTAGTCTATTTTTTTTCGGCATATAAAAGTATTAATGACTGCTTTAATATTCGAGAAATAGTTGTTTTCATACGCTCTCGGGAAGGTTAGAATTGGGCTATTCCCCTCGGCAAGCCTCGGGGAATAGCACAATTCTAACCTTCCCTTGAGCGTAATAAAACAACTATTTCTCTCAAAGCAGTCATTAATACTATACTAACGCATCGCCTTGGTTTCGAACCCAGGTCACCGGATTACGAGATCACTGCTCTACCGACTGAGCTATTGCGCCTCCTCAAACAATAAAAGTGCCCCTTGAAATAGTGGACCCCCTGATACGCTACCGACTCTATCCACCACATCGACTACTGTTATGGGTGTAAAAGTGTCATAATCACTCCGCTCAATCAAACAGATATCACATTGAGCTCGCTATTTGACTCAATGTAACGAGTGCCTCAAGCAGACGAATCTGAACGGTGTGGCGTGTCGTGTATATTGCTCAATTTTGCAACCCCACTCTTCTTATCATTTCCTTTTCATACATGTAATTGACACCAATATGTAGTTGAATGAGTAATTGCCCACGCTCTGTGATATAAGGTATTATACTATTCATAGCAAGAGCTTCAAGAAGAACGTCGATAATAGCAAGGTGTCGATACATTAAAGGGACTATGTCCCATTTGCAGGCCCAAAAAATGAAAAAGTTAAATTCCAACTGCATTTGAAAGATAATACTAATTTAGAACTTCCCTAAAAAAGGTGGGGCTTGAAAATGTCTTCAAGTGGGAAAATAACGACTATTAGTTGTCAAATCGACTTTAGGGCTATAGAGCCCAAAAGTAATAGTCTTGATTTTCAGACAATTTTACCGAATGGTCATACGTTTTATGCTGCGCAAAGATTCAATCAGTTAATCTTGGCCATCACAAGAAGTGGCATTGATGTAGACAAACCCTCATGTACCCTTTAAAACTCTTTTCATGTATGTTATTACCAAAGAAGAAAAAGCCAGTCACTCACTGAATAGTGTCTGACAGTGAAGTCTAGCAAGTAAACGGGTTTCCTTGCATAATTTGAATATGAGGACACTGCTAACGTTTAAATTTCACAGATAGGACATACATGACATATTCATAATTCCTGCAAAGTTCTACAGCATTTGAGGTTGGCTGCAAAAGGGACATAGTACCTTTAAGTGTTTTCAGATGAATCAAAAAATGATTAGATTATTAAATCACCTGAATTATTATTTATGAGTTCTCAAACATCACAATAACAACCGATTTTCTCCCATTCACGATGAACAATATGTCATTTAATAACTTGACATATTCGAAGCAATTCAACGAAGATAATTTGGATAAAATGTCACTTTCATTCTGACGAATCAAATTCCCTCCTATGGTGAACAATCTCTTACCCGATATGCATTTACAGTGTAGAAAACATCCAAATTAAAGGGTTTTTTTTTTTTTAAATAAAATACCTCACCAAAATACCTCTTACAGGCCTATTACATTGAGCTATGAAACAAAATGCTGGAGTGGAAAACAGCCTGCATATCCGAAGAATGCGCTAATTCTGATACATTGAATGATAGTGTACGACTCATTACAGGCTTAATTTGCTGTCGCTCTAGATTGTTGCATGCGGCACGTAACTCATACATTATGGATGAGACTGGAATGAAATAATTCATTACAGTTTACAGCACCATCCGACTCGCATCGCATGACGGCCCTGGCGTGACTTTAACACCGATATAGAAGAAAATAGATATGAAGAAGATAGAAATAATTATGATAATAACTAGACCACTTTAAGAGAAAATTGAGTTCTCATTTAGAAGGAAGAAATAGTCATGTGCTTTCCTATTTCAATATTTGTTATTCTCATATGGAAGAGTATCATGGTATAACTATCTCATGAAAAGGATTGCTCTCGAAGTGACGAGAAATGGTTTACAACTTGGACCAAAGTCTGAGGTTACGTGTTTATGTCCTCGCATGAACCCGGTATCTGATTCTTTTTACATTTCATTATTTGTGATTTATCATCATTACAGGTCTTTTTATACTATATTCGTTATTGTAATTGTTTTTTGTCATGATTTTTATGATTGTGACGGTTATCATTATTATCATCATTACCACTGTTTTTATTGTAATAATCGTTGTTATTCTATTATTGTCATCGTTAGTAGTAATAGTAGTAGTAGTAGTAGAAGTAGTAGTAGTAATAGTAGCAGCAGTAATAGTAGCAGCAGCAGAAGTATCATCATCATTATATGCCATGGAAACTGACAATTTTTGGAGAAGTGTCACATACACAGAATACTCAGATACAGTCTGATACATTGTATTATTCTCAAACTTGGAAGAAAATTCAACGTCCCATCGCCTGAATGCCTTCATTATGATTCAGTAAAATGGCGGACCACGGATGGTCTCAAGGGAAAACATAGAGTACAATTATATTTGAATAGAGGGCGGTCGATATGTCGCCTATGATTATGTGGACCTACATTTGCATAATTCATGGCGATCGCGTTCCAAGAAAATGTATTTAAAGAAATATATTTCAAAATATATAATTGTGTTCAATATTTTTCGTGGCACATGTTAAATATTTAACCCTTTTCCGTAATGTTTGGTCGATTTTTTTCTCTCTCGCTTTTTCACCCCCCCCCCCCCCCCCTCTCTCTCTCTCTCTCTCTCCCTCTTTCGTTCTTTTCTTTAAAGATACTTTATACTGTAGTTATGAGAGAGGTGAAACAGTAACATTTGTACATTATGAACCATCTGACCATCCATGACATATCATAATATACAATAGAAGCAGACTTAACACTGGAGGTGCAAAACGGTATCCTTCTTTTGACTGTTTCATTCGTTGATGAAAATGAGTATGGATGTGTTATTTACACCATCTTTGCTTTACATATTTTCTCTTTTCGTTTACTCTAGACTTCTAAATAGTAGAATACCCTCTTTCAATTGTTTTTTTTTTCTGGGTGTAGGGCTTTTGTAAAATATTTCAAGAAATTAATGAGCTCACCTTTTAGTACAGTATAGAAGGCACGTCTCGATTGTCATTTTACGAAGATCAGTAGTAAAGGCTCCTTTTAGAGTTCGCTTCTTCGGTTGTATTGCATCGGGATAACAGCCAACGTAGGAAGCTGCGAAATGCATTAAAAAATAATGAGAAAAACAATTATGAGCACGCAGGAAAATTGAAGCTACGAAATGAATGCGTAAATAATGAGCATACAAAGCACCAACGGTGAATTATGACAATAATGATTTGATTCTACTTTGGTTATATCACGGGGAAATAAAATATGAAGGTTTGAGGCATCGTATCGGTAATTAACTTCATATCACAGTCTACAGTATGCCAACCACCAACAGACATCACATAGCAACAGTGATCATATATTTAGCAAGCTTGCATTACGTTGTTTTTAAGTAAGAAGGGAGGTGCCCTGCCGTCCATGGAAGCACAACATACTATACATGTTTGATAAAAAGAAAAGAGCATAAAAACGTAGTAAAGTAGTAAATTACATTAGGTGGAGGAGGTTTCCTTCGGAATTGAGCAACGAGGGTTATAAAGATTAGCACCCTATTCCTGAAAATTCAATTATCACCCTGGAAAAAGGCGATAACCATGTTTTCCTGCTTGTCAGCAATATATGAGAGGTGGCAGAGATGCCGAATAATATTTGGTTTTACTACATGTTTTTTTTTTAAATTTATTTATTTATTTATTCGTTTTATTTAAAAAGGGTAACTCTCTCAGTATCTCAGAGGCCCTGTACACAAAAAGGGATTCAGATACATGAAATAACAAACAATGTTAAAAGACGTATACATTATTTTATATATAGCAGGGTTATTTGTTTGTTTTGTTTATAGTTCTTATATAACCCGATAATATACAACAAAACATAAAGCAATATTTTTCCAGCTGTTACAATATGAATTAATGCTTATCCTATTTATTATAATATAAACATATAAACATCAGGAATAAACTTTTACATGAAAAGGAAAGGACAAATTTTCATGAGTGGAATATAGCAAGTTTAGACACTTCTGGTAATGTAAGCCATTTCATGAACATCACCACGTAAAAAAGACCCATTAAAAAATCCACTAAAATGATAATTACAGGTTAAATAGCATGCAAGGAAACTCCAAATAATACATGCATTAACTACTTAAAGTAGAAAAAAATATTGTAATGACGACTGCTGCATTAATAAAGTCTAAATAGCATGCAAGGAAATACCAAAAAAAATACATGCATTGACAACTGATGTAGAAACACGTTTGTATTGACGATTGATGCATTATTGATTGACATGAGAGTATCAAAATATGCGTGGGGTCTTAAGAGACAGAGTGTATTCTTCTCAAGGTTCATATATATTCTCGAGGTGAGAAGAATACCGCCAGCGACACTAGGAATTCAAGGATTTCAAAACACAGCGTCTCGATTCATTAAAATAGCATACAACCCCAAAGCTTTGATCCGAGTGTTGGTTTCCCAGAAGAGCATTGAAACATACTGCCCGTCATAGTATAGATATATTGACTGCTATGCTTCGAATATCAAAGCCGTCCATATATCTGTTATATACCAAATTCACAACAAAATCTTCCCCGGCATCACATGAAAACTGTGAAAAATAGCATGGAGCTTTATCTTATAGCTCCATGGTAATAGTGTGTTCATACAAACTGCTATAACAATGAATGGTTTTAGACGTAATGTACATTCCCATGCAGCGCTATATGACATCATGCACTTTGTTTAAAAGCAGTGAGATCCAATGTGAGTCATTTCTCAAAGGTTGTTGTTGTTTTTATTTCCGTATATTGAAGTCAGATAAAATACATACAAAGTAATCATACATAGAAAAGGGACAAAATATGGCTGGTAGCCCATTTTCAGCTGCAACTATATTGTTGCTGCTAGTCTTAGATGGGGCCAGTATAGGTCAATTATGAAGATCTTTATGATAAATACTTGTTCAATATTATTTTCTGGTTATCAAATGATAATCCGCCTTCCAGAGTTCACCATATCGACAAGGTTGTATCAATACTTCGTACTCGGGCTGAACGTTTACATTACACAGAGCAAAAAGTAATCAATCATAATGTAACTTCGACTTGCTGAAACTTTTTAGGTAAATTTAACACAGCAGGATGAATGAATAATGCAATTTAGCACGGATACGTGTTGGTCAATCCATGCTTTGCATACATGTATGGCACCTTAAAAATCACACGGGGTGGAGCGAAATGGACTGTTAAACAGAATTTGGGAAATGGAACGTGAAGGATATTATGGCATGTTTGTTACGTGTATCACCACTGGAAATATGAAAGCGATGAAGAAATATGAGGAGAAATGGAGGACATAGGGAAAGATGAAGAAAGAGTGATAGATAGAGGAAGATAGGGGAGAGTAATAAAGAGAGAGAGGGGATGATGATGAGAGGGAGGGAGAATGGGGGAGAGAGAGAGAGAGATAGATATATATATATATATATATAGAGAGAGAGAGAGAGAGAGAAGAGAGATGAGGGAGCGATGTAATGGAGAGCGGGGTGAGATAATTTTGCACACACAATAAAGAAGATGTATGTACATGCATGAAGAGCGTTCCTGGTACATGTAAAATGCATAGAGTACGTACGCTTGTGCTGTGCCATTGTCTTAGTGCAAAACCCCTGCCCCAATGGAGAGATCGGTAAGAACATGTGCAGAATCGCCACCGACAGAAGCAACAAGAAAGCTATGATCACAAACACAGCGAATGGATGATCATAGGCTACACAACAGACAGTATCTCCTCGACGAGTCCTTCTCTCCGTGCCTGTCTTCATGTTGACCGTTCTTCTGTATGAATACATGACGTACAGTGAATGTCTTGCTTTATAGAGTGTGCTTCAGAGAGTGCACTTTCTTTTGCACGTGATTCCCAGGAAGAAGGGGGTAAGCGACTAGACGCTCCAGGAAATGCATCATTACTTCGTTGAAGGTGGCTCGACAACAGATAGATATCACACTCTATCGGTGCCTTCAGCTGTGGCAACACAAAACCCTCTTTAGTCAATTGCCCCACAGCTTAAAGAGGTAGTTACACCACTAAGGTCGATGTCAATCCAACATATAGAAAAAAGAGAAATTTCGATCTAATCAACTCCTTGATCTAATATTGGTTCCTGATCTTAGCACGTATCGTTCAATTATCCATCATAACCTGACGAGCATAGGTGAATCCATTTGAAGCCCACACGATTAGTATTCGAGAGATTTATACGACGAGGGGTCCATATAACTGCCAATACACCACGGCCACTATGCTGAGGAAAATGAAGTCCAGAGTACCATCATAACAAATTAATTAAGTGCCCTCTCGCTTGTCAACGATTGGGACGACCGTTTTCCTAATTAATATCCTTTTTAATGGCGCAATAGATGAACCACCGTTAAAGCAAATCTGGTGAAATATGCACGATTGTACGTATTGTATAACAACATCCCCCCTAAAATAACATACGATGAATTAAAATTGACCTGCAGAAATGTATATTCGTAATCTGATATATGGGAGCGAGTCCATCATGCCCGTATATGTTCTATTCGGACTTTGGCTTTATGTCAACAATCAATGGCAAAGAACTAATATAGTTCATACTACGCACATGTGCCATCCGCTCGTTGATGAACAACTGGGGATTTGAGTTTGTGCAACAATTGAGCAATTATGGGTTTGATTTAGGAATGAAGATTGAGACTTCTGTCACCACGGTTTCGAGGTTATAACGCATAAAAATAGCATTGATGAATGTTATCCCATTTATCATCAGGATGAAATATATAGTTCCAGGAAAAATGGTTTGTTTGCGTACTGTGTTCAATGACACTGTAAAGAGCAGGGTACTTGTGAAAGTATATCAACAGTTAACAACTACATTATTCATACCCTTACCAAGTTGTGCAATTTGTTAAGTACGTGGAAAAATTTATCTGTCCCAATTTACGTTTCTTGTTAATGTGACAAGTATTCAACAATCGCCCCCAAAACGTCAAATGTACAAAGGAATAATTCAGTAGTTACATGTACTGTATATTTAAACCGTAGTCCCTATTGTCGTATAGAAAACAGTGAAAATTCTACAGCCAAACTCCTTCTACAGCTCGTCACTTTAACATAATCAATCCTTAAATTCAGTTATGAAATATGTAAGAAATAATTACAGCGTGGGTATCTTCTTAAATTGTTTGTATATCAGAATACCAGGATATTTGATGAAGATGAAAATTGTTTTCAATTTTTTATTTTTAAGGGTACAATATTACCTTGAAAATGAATATGGCATTTAGGATTAAAGACAGTCATCCAAAAAATGATATCATTCTCGGAATCATCTCACATATTCTGCAGGGTCATAAAACAATACTTTATACAGACACTTATTTTTCAGACGACACAATCATGCAATAGCGTTTCATAACTACAGTACAATGACTAATATAAGTTTTTAACTTCAATGTCCAATTGTAATTTTTGTATGATAATTACAATCAGCGATACTTCTCATTGATTTTGTTAATCTGAAAGGTATGCGATTAATAAATGATAGTACCTTCGACATTTAACAAATATATATATACTGGGCTTTTAAACAGTTCAGCTGTTATTTAGTGTGTTATGTACTGCAATAGAGCCCTGATATATAAAAAGAAATTATGTTCTATCTCTCTCTCTGTCAAACTTTCAATCAATATCAATGTCTGTCAATATCCCTCGAACACTCTGAATGTTCTCAATCATCTTCATATAGGAGGTATATGTTTATGTTTGGGAGTTCTTATTGGACATTTTCTACAGATTTTATCTCCTAAATTTCTAATCAAAAGGAGAAAGGTATGATATCAAAGATAAAGTTGAGTTCTGGTCATGTGATTGCATTGTGAAAGAAACGTTGTGGAATCGATCAGAAAAGGGTTGATCATCTAGCATATAATTATTGGTGTGTACTGCCAGGTTCTGGAATCATCAAAATGATAAGACATTTGGCCAAGTCTTGGTGAAGTTACAAGCATTGTACACAGATTTATATGGGACTACAAGAACATGTGGCATAAAAAAATCCGT